TGTGTGTGTGTGTGTGTGTGTGTTCGTTGGTCCGGGTCTTTCAACTCGCTAACCACACAAGCTCTGAAGCTAAAATTTTGCCAACGTGTTCTCCAGCATAGTGCCACCCCATTACCGCGGTATCAACCCTCTTGCACGTTTAGATCCTGCGTACGGCCACATAAAAGTTTTGGCGGGAAAACTGCTAACTCGGAAACAAGGAAAGCTAAAAAGCTGATGCCTTAGCGGAATGTGCTCTATCCATGCGTGACAAAAGATTTCAAATTCAGGTGTCTAGGACTGTCCGAGACTCACGTACGGGCATGTGAAAATTATGGCGGGAAAATTCATGATCCGAGAATGAAAAAGGCTAGGAAGTTGAAACTTTGCGGAAGCGTTCCCCACTCACGCATGACCAAAAGTTTTCAAATCAGCTCCTTAGAACCTCCCAGGACTCGCGCACTGGAACGTGAAAATCTTGGCGGGAAAAGTACTAACTCGGGAAAGAAAAAAGCTGGAAAGCTGAAATTTTAGGGGAGTGTCTCCTAACCATGCAGGACTAAAAAATCTCAAACTTAGTTCTCCAGGATAGTCCGGGGCCCACGTATAAGCACGTGGAAATTTCAGCGAAAACCGGGGACGAAGGAAGCTAGAAAGCTGAAACTTTAGGGGAATGTTCCCTACTCATGTATGATCAAAATCAGATGTTTAGAAGCGTGTGGGGCCCACCAAGGGGCACGTGGAAATTTTGGCACGAAAAGCACTTGCCTGGAAACGAAGAAAGCTAGAAAGCTGAAACTTTAGAGTAATGTTCCCTCGTGTATGATCAAACGATTTCAGATTCTTTAAAACCATTCGGCACTCACGTATGGACAAGTGAAAATTTTGATGGGAAAATTGCTAACTCGGGAGGGAATGTTCCCTACTCCCGTGCGATTAAAGATTTCAAATTTAGCTCTTCTAGTGCGGCTTTTTTCGCGGACCAGCTGCTTTCCATTTGTCGGGTCACACTGAAGTCGACATTTACAACTGACATGCCACATAGCTGCACATTTGACTTCCCGAATTTCGAGGACCATTATCTCATAGGGCTAGCTACTGTAATTCCTTGCGATTGTAAGACATCACAAAAAGTGATAAAACGCATGATCGCACCTGTCCGCCTGGTGCGTTCCACTCTGGGTTTTAAAGTAGTGAACTGCAAGGAGACGCAAATCACTGAATTTCGCTTCAAGCTTCACTAAATTATGCTTTGCCTTTCACTGAATCACTGAACTTTACCTTCCACTCTTAGTAGCATCGTAAATTATGAAAACTTTGACAGTCTAGTCAAAAACATACTATTTTTATGAATTGTCAGCAAAATGTCAGCGAATTTTGCTCATTTTGTGACAAATAAAAGTCTGATGCTTAATAATTGGTTGCTTCATGATTCTCGTTGCAGACAGCATAAATTTGCAATTGTCTCCAGCTCAGGACAGCTCTGCTGCTACCTTTGTAAGTTTTACCTTATCACTATCAATGTCCATACTTTTAATCCGAAAGCACTTTTTTCATGCTTCTTTAAATCGTGGTTCTCTGAGTTACAAAGACATATTTCAAGTATATCAGCAGTGAGAAATTCGTAATGATATTTTTCAGAAAGCTAAAATTTCTTTATTTTCACGCAATCTTTTAGCACAAACCTATTACCTACAAGCACACAGCTAATAGTTTACATATTTATTTAAACTATATTATAATTTGCATAATCAAGCTCAAATAAAAATCCAGGCTGGATAGCATCAGGCGAACCAATGCGATCATGCGTTTTTGCACCAAACTTAAAGTAATCAGTTTAACTGCATGAGTGGTTGTTGCTTCACACTTACCTTCTGAGCTTAATACCGTAAATCACTGCAAATTTTGCATAAACGAAAATAAGCAATTTCCGTTTAGTGGTATTTTTTAAAAAATGATCCAGCTGTTCAATGAGTAATTTTCCCATCAAAAGTGCCTATACATGAGAACTAAGCGTACCTGGAGGCTGAATTTGAAACCTTTAAGTTGTACTTGGAGGGGTCACTCTCCTAAATTCTCAGTTTTTCAGCTTTTCTAGTCCCCAAGTTAGCAATTTTTTCGCCAAAAGTTTCACGAGCCTCACGTGACTTGTGGACATAGCTGGGGGCTGGGCCTTAAATCTTTAAATTGCACATGGGCTGGGAGCATCTCCTTATAATTTCAGCCTTCCAGATTTTCTCTTTCCCGAGTAAGCGAATTGCCTACTAGGAACCCTCAAAGGGTCGTGTGCGGGAACTACGTACACCTGGGAGCTGAATTTGAAAAATTTGACTTCTATGTGGACGGAGAACATAATCTCAAAATTTTGGCTTTCTAGCTTTTCTCGTTCTCGAGTTAGCAGTTTTCTCGCCAAAACTTTCGTTCTTTTATGCTCGGGGGCCAGACTTGCATGAGGGTTAGTACCGCGGCTCTGGAGTGACACTTGGCTGGGGAACCTATTGTCAAAATTTTGGTGTTGGAGTTCGTTTGGTACGCGGAGTCGCAATATGCGTTTTTGCAACTTGCATATAAGCAAAAACGCATAATAATATATGCACTTGTGTGTACACAGTTGCAAGCAATACATCCACAGTACATCTCAGACAAGGCAGAGTCTGTTATTTGAATATTGTTTTTTAGCATTTTATTTCTAATTATAATTTTTCTTGACTTAAGCATTCCAGTAGACATTTGTAATTTTTTGAGGTGCAGTCCTCTCTCAAAATATTTCTTTTTTCGGATCTAAATTTTTCTTACATGTCGAATCTTAACTTTCGGCTCGTTTTTTTCGGATCATTCTTAACTGAATACTTTCGGCTCTTTTTTTTGCCTTTCCTTGGTGCAAACATCGATTTTGGAAATCGCTCTCTTCCTTTTGTGCGTCCTTTTTTGCGTCTCTTTCAGACAGCAAAAGAAAGCAAACTTGCTTCTTTTTACTTTCCGCAGCTCTGGTATATAAGCCAACACCTCTGGTGTCTAGCGTACATACGGTACAGTTGACTTGAGTTTTTAAACAATCGTCTCTCTGGGCTAATGTTAATTTAGCCGTGTTAGACAGGAACAGGAGTGTGCTGGAAATTATAAATTTAGAGTTATCAGGAGAGTTATTTTGATTTCAAGAGAAAATTGGCACATACTCAGGCGGAAGATAAACTGAATAAGCACTAAGTTAAGTTCAGTAATTATTTTTTCATACTTGCAGAACACGCTTGGCAACAATCAGAACAGCGTTTTCGCTGCAAATGATTCTGCAATATCATTTTGCGAGGTAAGTGAAGAAATTGGAGGGGCAGCTCCACATTTTTGTTTTATCCATTGATCTTGCAGGTTCGGGAGAATAGGTCAAACACAGTAATGTTGCGGTGCAGTGACTTGATGTGGAAATTCTATATTTGCCTCGCTAAGTTCATGAAGCTTTTATCTTGCGCGACTGATCATTTTACGAACTGCTAATCTATGGGGGACTGATAATAATCTCTCTATGGCGCTACGAACTGAAACCTTTCTCAGCTTGCTTTCTCGAAAGAGAAAATAGCTGATTTAGGAAACAGTAAGCGAGCTCAATTTATTTTTTGTATGTTAAGTCCTTATTTATTAAATATGAGTCTGTCAACAGCAATGGAACAACGTCACGTCAAATTTCAATTTCTCCCGTGATACTTCCGGAATGATGACACCAGTATGCGGCAATGAGGTGACCATCACATCACAACCACCACTACGTCATCTTCTTTTAACAAAAGTAGCAGCAGCGTCAGAAGCTCCTGGCAATCTTAGTGCTGCATTTGGCTTCAGCAGCTGGAAAAATGATATGCTCAAATTGGCGCAGTAAGAAAATTTCTTTACTCAAAAATCAACGGATTTTTTTGTCCACTGTCACACTAGCACCAAATTTTCCTTTTGTGCTTTATTTACTATTACGAAAGCGGGCAAGAAGACCAGTACTTATTGAATGTGGTGCCAATTAACCTAAAAAGAGGACCGGTCGT